CAATGCAAAGTACAAAAAATACAAACAGAAAAGTACAAAAGAAAAAAAGGGGGGTGGAAAAAAAAAGAGAAAAGAGAAAAAGAGAAAGAGAAAAGAAAAAGTGCCAGCAAGTAAAAAGAATTTTTATAACTAAGTGCAACATAAACTCTCAAAATCCAAATGCTTCGTCAATCGTTCTTTGTCCGCAAAAGTCCAGTAAGGGCTACCAGATATAACTATTTTCCTCTTTGAGCCCTGATCAAAGAAATCAGCCTTGTAATCCTTCCAGAGTTTTTAAAAATATTCTTTAACCCCTTCAAAGAGAGTCCCAGAGATAGTTTGCTGGTCCTCTGTATCTCAAGGCACAAATCTTTCAAAACTTTAACAAATTTCTTTTGTATATCCAGTAAGTAAAGTTGATCCTTTTGCTTGTCACTTGTAATAAAGTCCTTCAAAACCCAAACAGAGCTCTTTTGTATTTCCAGTAAGAAAAAATTATCCAGTTCAGTTTCCTGGTTCGATATCTGTATGTCTCTTTTAGGGGATAAGTCATCCATGAGGTCCATTTGTGTTACATTTAAGTCTCCCTTCAAAGTAATTTCATAGACATCCATTGCAACCTGTTCTTGTTCCATAACTTCATTGCAAGATGCCCTGTCCATCTTATCAAGCAATCATCCATTCTATCAAGAAGCTTGGTAGAGAGATATTCAAAAATTTGCAATATAGATTTCTGCTCCATATTCTTTATCCTCTAGCTCCCTCTAGTGTCCAACCCGCAAGGTCTCCTTATTGTGAAAATGCCAAAACAATCAAAAGCAATCGACATTTTCTCACGAGAAAAAAATCTTCCAATTAATTCAAACCTATAATTCCAAATTCTCTGGCCCCTTAATCTTTTGTTAGCTTTCCCAAATCCATATACTAAGTACCCTTTTGCTGCACAGTCCCCAAAATCATAGATTTTCAAAGCTTTTAAAATCAAATTTACACCATTGGCCTCTGAGGAGGAGGAAACTCACCTGATGAATAGAATAAAACCTTGCTGATCCGAACAGTCTTAATCTCTCCAGTAAACAAGGGAAAAAAAAATAATAATAATCCAAAAAGTTGATTAAGAAATGAGGTTCGGTCAAGCTTAGTGTCCATGAAAGGCTGCTTTGGGAGTGTGAGTTTGATGAAATCCCAACTCCCAGCCTCTCCACTCATAAGCCGACCACAAAATGGCAGTTTCCACAGTCTACTCATGAGCAGTGGGCTGTCTGGAGTCACGTGGATAATCTCAACAACCTTTCCTTCTTCTGGAGAGATTTCACCAGTCCAGATCCAGCATCCAGTCACCATTCCCCTCACAAACGCTGTCCTGCTAAGGAGCAGGATGTTAGCTCACTGGAAGGGCAATATTGTAAGTATCTAAGGGGGACAGAGTGGGGAAGGGAGAAGAAAAAGCATAAACTAGTGATTAAAACCAACTTTACTCAACCTGATGCCTTCCAGATATGCTAGACTACAAACCCGTCATAATACTCTTTCATGCTGGCTGGCTATTATGAGAGCTGTGGTTCCAAACTTCTGCAAGGCAAAAGATTGGGAAAAACTGACTTCCCAGTAGCTTCTGACATGTATTTTGCACCTGGAAGTATTTAAATACAGGTCCTCTATCCCCCTGAAAAAATGAGGGTAATCAAACCCCAGAGAATTCAGTCTGCCCTTTCAGGGGACATCAGATGACATACTGGCCACTTTGTCCTTTGGGAAGATTTTATTTTCCTAATTGTGGTTTTGTTCTGTAGAATATGTTGAAATTTCCAGCTACACATTGGTCAGCCATGATAGTACTTCTCAAGGACTAGTATAAATATAACCCAAATCAGCTGAAATTGGCAGAGGGCCCTAATTCTCTGTTGCTCTACACACACCTAGTATTTCAGAATGTGGTTCATATGGAGGCAACCAAATTACGCATTACGAAAACCAGGAGTATGAAACGTGTTCTAGGGCCTCAAAGTGCTTCCACACACCTTCTGTGGTGCCTACCAGCCTCCTGTTTCAACTTACTTAAAACAAAACACTCTTTTAATATGGTGGGGCATTTTTTTTGTTGTTTTTCTGTTTTGTTTTTGAAATATTAAAATAGAAAGCTGGCATATTGCAAGGGAAAATCCCAGCCTTAGAACCATACAAGCTGGTAAGGATGGCTTTGGGCCCCTCAAAAGTCCCACAGGGATAAAAGAAACTAGGAACTGTGATATAGGCTTATTTTTCTACTTTCCTTGAGTGGTTCTTTATTCTAGACTATTGTCACAGAGTTGGAGACATTAACACTATTGTCGTCTTCTTCTTCCTCCTATCAAGAATTCTTCTTCCTCCCTTTCTCAACACAGACAAAGACTATGCAAAACAATTGGATTATTTGTCTTCTTTTTTCTTTGTCCACAGCTCTGGTGTGACTTGGACAAACCACTGCCTTTTAAGAATCAGACTTTCAACTCTTCAGAATATTTTACAGACATTTGCTCCTACCCAGAGGTAATTCTAAGTATATCATTTTGCATAGAGGAAAGTCAACACAATATATTAGGCTATGCAGTGCTGTGTGATACCAAATTATAGGGCCACGTGAAACTTCAAAGCCAAGCTTTGTTTCAGTGATGCCACGCTTCACTTCAAGTGGGCTTGAATGATTCCTTCCAAACTTCCTCTAACTCAACCATTTGCATCCTGGTATCCTCCAGATGTTCTGGACTACAAATGGTCTATTGTCAGGGTATATGGGGAGTGTAGTCCAAAACAGCTGGAGGGCAAGAGCATGGATATTCCTGCCTTAAAATGCAGGAATTCTCCTATATAATTCTCCTATATAATTCTCCTATATAAGAGACAAAATCTAGAAATCTGATTGCTGGTGATCAATGATTCCATTGTAGTAGAAGACCTATTGGGCTTTGACCTTTAGAGCTGATCCAGTAACCTCAGCACATTCTCAAGAGCGTTCAAAAGGTATCCAAAAGGTATGTTGTATATAGTAATGCTAGGCAGAGAAATTCCCCTGCATTTTTTCCTGCAAATTCTCGTCCAGCCTGATGTTATTGCTTTCAACACTCTTCTGAAAAAAATAAATTGGTGGAATTCTCCTGAATGGATGTGAAGCTCTTGCAATTCTTAAGTTTCAAGGTAGCACAGAAATGTGCGTGAATATCCTGTTTTTCACTATATTGTTCTCTCTTTAGTGATGTGTAGTCTCACTGGTTTCCCATCTTTGTATTAAAACCCAAGGGGAGACATCAGGAGAAATCTTCCATAGACCTTTTTTGTCCAGTAGCAGCAACATTGTTCCTGCTAAGGCAGTGTTGTCCAAACTTGGCCACTTTAAGATGAGTGGACTTCAACTCCCAGAATTCCCCAGCCAGCAGGGCTGGC